AACTTGTATATTCTTTTTTTTTTTTTTTTTTGTTTGTATGAGGTTACAGGTTTGGTAGATAAAGGTAATAGTGTTGACCTTAAACTTCTGTAAGGTGTTTGACTTTGTATCACATGATGTTTTGATTAAAAAATTAGAACTAAATATTTACTCCATTTAACATGGAACTCATTAAATGGATTAAAAACTGGCTAACTAATAGGCCTCAAAATGTGATTGTAAATGGGTAATCGTTATCAAGGGTGTGTGTTTCCACTCGGGTCCCAAGAAGATCGGTTCTTGGGTCCTGTGCTATTTAACATTTTTACAATGACCTGGAAGTAAACAAAATCATCACTGGTAAAGTTTGCAGTGTTGTTTAAGTGTTGAAGGCTGGAACATTGTTGCTGTGGTAACACTGTTCAGGCTGCTAAGCTGTAGCAGTTGCTCAGTGCTTCTGTTCTTGGCGCTACAGTGTTATCAGCACTAGCAGATAGTGCAGCCTGCTAATTCAGCAGACCTCTATGTTACTCATAAATAGTGCCCTACCAAATTCACGGTCCATTTTGGTCAATTTCACGATCATAGGATCTTAATAGTAAATTTCATGATTTCAACTATTTAAATCTGAAATTTCATGGTATTATAATTGTAGGGGTCCTGACCCATAAAGGAGTTGGGGGGTCGCAAGGTTATTGTAGGCAGGGGTTGCAGTACTTCTATCCTTATTTCTGCACTGCTGATGGCGGCGGCGCTGCCTTCAGAGCTGGGCAGCTGGAGAGCGGATGGCATGGTATGGTATTGCCACCCTTACTTCTGTGCTGCTGCCTGCAAAGCTGGGCCCTCAGTCAGCAGCCGCCACTCTTCTGCACTGCTGCCTTCAGCGCTGGGCACCTGAAGTAAGGTGGCATGGTATGGTATTGCCACCTTTACTTCTACGCTGTGGCTGGCAGGGCACTGCCTTCAGAGCTGGGTGCCCAGCTAACAGATCTGAAGGCAGTGCAGAAGTAAGGGTGGCAATACTGCGACCCCCCCCCAAAATAACCTTGTTACCCCCCTGCAACTCCCTTTTGGGTCAGGACCCCCAATTTGAGAAATGCTGGTCTCTCCTGTGAAATCTATATAGTATAGGGTAAAAGCACAGAAAAGACCAGATTTCACAGGGGGAAGATCAAATTTCATGATCTGTGACGCGTTTTTCATGGCCGTGAATTTGGTAGGGCCTTACTCCTAAAGACCACAGGCATAGTTTGGTGGCAAAGGCACTCAGCCAGGTTTATTGCCTTCCAGGCTCAGTACTAGTGCCCTGTGATTACAGGTACACTAACACATGAGTGTCAAGTTGCAAGGGGAAGTTCAGTCAGCAGCAGGAATTTTTGCTGTCCCCTCGGCCACACAAAATGTTATGGCGAGTTACACCAACATTTATAGACTAAGAAAAACAACGTACGAATCACCTTACGTTGTTCATGCCATCTATTTGTTGCCTCCCCTTGTACCTTGCTCCAGATGTCTTGGGCAACACATCCCTATTCATCACTTCTGCCAAACCTTCTTACTTGTGCTAATTAGGATGTACCTATGCTAATCTTTTGGAATGTGTTCATATACATATGCAGTGCCTGTTACTACTTAGGAAGTGCCTGTATTTTAGCAACGCTAGACTGTAGCCCACACTTACAAAATGGGAGACTATTCTAGGAAATAGTGAGTCTGAAAAAGAATTGGGTATCATGGTGGATAATCAGCTGAACATGAGCTCCCAGTGCAATGCTGTGGCCAAAAGACACACTGTAATTCTGGGAGGCATAATCAGGGGAATTGAGTAGGAGTAGAGAGGGTATTTGGCACTGGTGCGACCACTGCTGGAATACTGTGTCCAGTTCTGGCGCCCACACTTCAAGAAGGGTGTTGATAAATTGGAGAGGGTTCAGAGAAGAGCTTTGAGAATGATTAAAGGATTAGAAAACATACCTTATAGTAATAGACTCAAATAGCACAATCTATTTAGCTTAACAAAGAGATAGTTAAGGAGTGACTTGATTATAGTCTATAAGTATCTACCTAGGGAATAAATATTTGATAATGGTCTCTTCAGTCTATTAGAGAAAGGTATAAGATGATCCACTGGCTAGAAGTTGAAGCTAGACAAGTTCAGACTGGAAATAAGACATGCATTTTTGACAGTGAAGGGTGATTAATCTTTGGAACAATTTACCAAGGGTTGTGGTGGATTCTCCATCATTGAAAAAATTTAAATCAAGTTTGGATGTTATTTTAAAAGATGCTCTAGGAATTTTTTGGAAGAGGTTCTATGGCCTCTGATATACAGGAGGCTGGACTTGATGATCACAGTGGTCTCTTCTGGCATTGGAATCTATGAAAAGCATTGAGAGAAAGACACCTTCATGGGTTGAGATACCTTTTCTCATCTTCAGTACTTGTTCACATTTGTATGACAATTTTTTTCCCCAAAATCTGTTTCAGGTTGAACGTTGTGCACAATTAAAGATCCAGCTGTTAGACTATGAAACTACTATCAGAAAGCTAAACGTACAGGTTGAAGATTTGAAATTGCAGCTGAAGCAAACACAGACAGGTTTGTAGTATTTATTAGATGTTTTAAAACTGAGTTTATAAAGGATTTTTAATTTATGCAAACATTTCCAATGGCTTGAAAGGTAGTTCAAATTGTGAGGGCTCAATCTGTAACTGATAATTGCATTCCAAAACTAAAAAAAAAAACGTTAAGGTTGCAATGTCACAAATGTAACTACCTAAGACACCATTTACAAAACTCAAGCCTTTAAAAGCAAGGAATGAATATTTATGGATATAATAAATCTTGCACTGTCCAGATAAACATTCTTAATAAATATAAGGAAATGAATATTCATAACAAAACCACCTAATTTCATGAATTGTATTTTAATGTATCATTTTTATCTCTTGTCTTTAGAATATGAATTATTTTCTTTTAAATAATACTTTTATTTTACCAATAAAATCTGGAATTCCCTTTGTGGTGGTGATAATTGTATCTAGTTTAAAATTAAAAGTAGGGCTGTCGATTAATCACAGTTAACTCACGCGATTAACTCAAAAAAATTTAATCGTGATTAAAAATTTTTAATCGCGACTGAAATTTGTTAAATATTTTTCGATGTTTTTCTACATTTTCAAATAAATTGATTTCTTCTTCGAGTGCTGTCCCTGTGGGTGCTCCACTTTAGGGGTTTGTATGCCCCTGCACTTGTAGTCAGAGACTTTTAATAGCAGTGCATGGTTGGGTCGCACATGCATGGTCCCTGCCTCGCGCTGTTGCAGGCAGTTAACCATCGCTGTGTGACCAACCCCCACTCAGTTCCTTCTCTACCGCCCTTGGCTGCCAGTGGGAGCAATCAGCAGCGCCTTGTTACTTTGTAGTTAATTAGCTACAGTCAGTTTCCTTATTAGCAGCTACTTAGCTTTTTTCCCGTTCCTTTTCTCCTTGATTAAAAAAAAAAAACCCTCACGGCCAGGATCTTCAGAAAAACAGCTGTTTTGAGGGCCAAAGCTCCCCTCCCCCCCCCCCAAACCGGGAATGCCCGGTTTCCCGGGCTCTCAGTGCCTTGCCTCCAGGCACGCTCGGTGCGTCAGGGCATGAGGCTTGGGGACCCTCCCCCCCACTTCACCAGCCGCAGCTTCAGACAGGAATGCTTTCTCCAACTCCACATTGGAGTGCCCTGCCGGGTGTCACTCAAGGAAGCACCTGGGTCCCCACCGCAGGAATAAAAAAACAACAACCCCACAGCAGTCCTGCAGATAATAATAGCATCGGCTATGCTGCCAGCGTTGGGAGCTCCGGTGGCTGAGAGCTCTGGCACCGCTGCAGACAGAGACTTCGGAGCCCCGTGCCTCCACGCCACAATCCGCAGCAGCTCCGCAGGCAGGCATCCGGTGTCGGCACCAGCTGTGCTGTTAGTGCCAGGAGCCGAGGTGGTGGAAAGCCCTGGCACCGCTAGAGCCAGAGACTCTACAAGAACTGGCTCCAACACAGGCACTATGGGGAAATCAAAACCCCGTGCCTCTGCATCACGATGTTCGTTCATTCTGCGGGCAGGCATCCAATACCGGCACCAACTGTGCTGTCAGCACCAGGAGCCGAAGTAGTGGAACATCCCGGCACTGCTAGAGCCGGAGACTCTACAAGAGCCAGCTCTGACACAGGCACTAAGCTACAAAAGGCAGCTTCTTCAAAAGCGCACGCAACACACACAGCGGCGGAGCCAGCAGCGCCGCCTTCCCCTCCGCAGCCCTGGCACTGACAAGGAGGCAGCCCCAGGGGCCAATCAAACCAGCACAGCAGCAGTTCCTCAGACAGAGGGTTCTGGTATTCGGCTCTGCCCCCGATCTCCCTATTCGCGGTACCGGTATGAGAATGATACTCTCGGCACCAAGTCTCCCTGCGTTCCCAACATCACTCACTGTCTCGCTCCTTATTTGAAGGAGGAAGATGAAGAAGAACAGGGAGCTATTCCCCCATTGGCTCTTATCCACCAGGAGTCAGTCAACCCAGGAGTCTCTCCTGGGGCATATTATGCTGTCCCCAGGTACTTACAGTGGTATGGGGATCCCCTATGCGGTCCCATCCCAGTAGGCATACTGGACTCCATGGGTTGTATGCCCCACACAAGGGGAGACTGCTCGCCACAGCCAGACACAGCACACAGTAATTCCTCACAGATTCTGTACCAGCACCCTCAGTGGTACCAAGGGAAGAGGAGGAAGAACCTCCGCCCCTACAGGGGACATCACCTGCCATCATTGTCCACAGAGGACACCTTTATGCCTCCTCCCCCTAATATAGGGGATGATTTCAAACTGTTCCATGGCTTATTTGAGAGGGTGGTCCTCTCTGGACATCTCCCTTGAGGAGGTCCCTGTGATACAACATGGGTTAGTGGATTTTTTTGCATACATCCGCTTTGTTTAACATTTTTTCAATTCACCTCATACAGGTACGTAGTGCAATCTCTTTATCATGAAAGTGCAATTATAAATGTAGGGGTTTTTTTGTTACATAACTGCACTCAAAAACAAAACAATGTAAAACTTTAGAGCCTACAATTCCACTCAGTCCTTCTTCTTGTTCAGCCAATCGTTAAGAGAAACACGTTTGTTTACATTTACGGGAGATAATGCTGCCCACTTCTTAATTACAGTGTCACCTGAAAGTGAGAACAGGCATTCACATGGCACTGTTGTAGCTGGAATCGCAAGATATTTATGTGTCAGATGAACTAAAGATTCATATGCCTCACATGCTTTGGCCATCATTCCAGAGGACATGCTTCCATGCTGAAGAGGCTCGTTAAAAAATAATAATACGTTAATTAAATTTGTGACTGAACTCCTTGGGGGAGAATTGTGTGTGTCCTGCTCTGTTTTACCTGCATTCTGCCATACATTTCATGTTATAGCAGTCTCTGATGATGATCCAGCACATGTTGTTCATTTTAAGAACATTTTCACTGCAAATTTGTGAAAACACAAAGAAGATACCAATGTGAAGTTTCTAAAGAATAGCTACAGCATTCGACCCAAGATTTAAGAATCTGAAATGCCTTCCAAAATCTGAGAGGAATGAGGAGTTGAGCATATTTTCAGAAGTCTTAAAAGAGCAACACTCTGATGAAACCACAGAACCCAAATCACCAAATAAGAAAATCAACCTTCTGCTGGTGGCATCTGACTCAGATGATGAAAATGAACATGCGTCGGTTCACACTGCTTTGGATTGTTATCGAGCAGAACCCGTCATCAGCATGGATGCATGTCCTCTGGAATGGTGGTTGAAGCATGAAGGGGCCTATGAATCTTTAGTGCGTTTGGCATGTAAATATCTGGACTTCTAGGCTCTAAAGTTTGACATTGTTTTATTGAATGCAGGTTTTTTCGTACATAATTCTACATTTGTAAGTTCAACTTTCGTGATAAAGAGATTGCACTACAGTACTAGTATTAGGTGAATTGAAAAATGCAATTTTTTTTAACCGTGCAAATATTTGTAATCAAATAAATTATAAAGTGAGCACTGTACACTTTGTATTCTATGTTGTAATTGAAATCAGTATATTTGAAAATGTAGAAAACAGCCAAAAATATTTAAATAAATGGTATTGTATAATTGTTTAACAGCATGATTAATCACAATTAATTTTTTTAATTGCGTGATAGCCCTAATGAAAAGCATATAATATTTTTTAATGAAATAATTTTTATACTGCATATCAACTGTTATTTGAAGCTGATCAGTGTGTCATGGTGTTCATTTTGTAACTTTTGTTTTTTACTATTATTTCATGATTATCTCTTTACTTTGCTAGTGGAAGGCAAAGTAATGACTTATTTTGGGTCAGAGATAAGGTTGTTGTGATTAAACAAACATTTCTTTGTATTTGATAAGAATACTTTTATTATGCAATATGTGTTGACGTCTGACAAAGTTACTTCCCTACTGATGGTACTTGCAGATATTTCTGGTATGTTTTGTTAACCTAGAAGTACCAACACAGAGACAGTTAACACAGGCAATGTAACTGATTTTGGGTAACAGTTTTCTTTTAGTCTTTAGTGGAAGGGAATCACCTTAAACTTCACCAAGATATTGCTTTCACTGTATTCTGTTGTTTTGATTTTGTTATTTTAATACCCAATAGATAGACTAATCTAAGAACTATGAGGGCCTGCCCCTGTACCCATTGAAATCAGTGGAACATGATTGGGCTCTAACAGTTTGCAAGTTTAATTAAATTAATTTTGTTTTACAGCTGTTTTTAATAACGTGTGTTTGGATTTTATATATATTTTATATATATAAAATATATATCAGTTAACAATTCATATTTTTGTCTCAATTAAAAATAGCAGAAACAATATTTAATTGTTTAGGCTGACAGCCTGCATGCCATGTTTCACTTCGATATAATTTAAAACAGACAAGTTATAAACCATTGAAAAATGGGGTTGAGTGGCTTACTAGAGCTGCTGTCATCAAGTGTCATTGCATTCTATGGAATTGTCTGATAACTGTGTATTATTTAGGTGCAGTGATAACTGAAGTAGTAGCAGAAACTATTAAACTTTTTTCGGATTTTATTTTTTCTCTCAATTGGATCTAAATATTAATTTCTGTAAACATAAATCATTGATAACTTGCAACTGTTACATAGGAACATCAAATGTAGTTGAATACAACTTTTTATTTTTAATGGTTATGATTTACATTTCAAATGAAAAAACCCTATATTTAAAATCAACTGTCATCAATTTCGTATCTGAATCGTGACTAAATCAGAATTCAAATAATTTCTTCTGATTTTTCCTGAAATTCATGGGTGCTTTTTCCTTTCTGTCTCTGTGTGTGAAATGTTTACTTACGTAGTTCTAGAGAATGAAGTGTATCGGAATCCCAAGCCTTCTCTTGTTGATCGTTCTGTCATTGACTTCACTGGTGATAGGATTGTACCTCATGACATTTATGTAGATGGTGCTTTCTTGAAGAACCGGGCTGTTACTGATATTGTTGTGGCAGATGATGTTCCAAACGTTGGTTATCGCCAGCATTCACGGACCTGCAACTCTTCTCCAGATTCTGACCTTGAATTTGTCGCCAAAACCAAAGCTAGGATAAAAGAACTAGAAAAAGAGGCAGAGTATTTGGAAGAGGCCTACAGAAATTACCAGCATAGAGCCATTCAAGGTGCAGTTGCAAGCAGGACACCAACAAAGACTAAGTCCCCTCTACCTTTGCGAAATGCTGTTACATTCCCTTTGGCTTCTCAACACAGAGTTATGTTTGTAGAAGACAACCTTGGCTCTCAGCATTTCTCTCTTAGCAGTCCAAGAGGCCCAAGATATGTTACACCTGGGCATGATGATGTCTTGAAAAATCATCTAACTACTCCCCGAAGAAGAGTCTCTTCCTCCAGACGTCTTTCTTCTACTCCTCTTTCCAAAGTGGAGAGAAACATCAATAGCCATATACTTCCAGAAGGTAAACGGTTACTGCTCTTTTGTGGTGGTGTTTTTCTGGTAAGATTCCAGTTAGGAAACTTAAAATTGAGAATCTTTTGTACATTTATCATCTGTTTAAGGGCAAGAGAAAGCTATAGGCAAAATATGATAAGTGAATTAGAAACTAAGCCTTTGAAAACAAGTGTTTTAGAAGTATGTGGGGAGCGGGGGTGTCAAACCTACTGCCCTTAATTTAAGCAGTTTTAATCCACTGTAGCTGTAGTCCTGTGGTAATCCGTGTTTTATTCAAAAGCAGATCCTAAGTGTAACTCTGCTTGGAAGATTAACTGTGATTTCACAGCTTCTGTAAACTTCCCTGCATAGCCTCATCTATTTACATAGTCAGTGGAGTTGCATGGGCAGTAATGAAGGGCAGAATTAGACTCAGCTTATTTGGACTGCTAAAATGGCCCATTGTCTATTTTGAAAATCTGAATGACTATAGTTTCCCTCTTTGTTGGTTTTCGTAAACAATGTCTAATGTTTGCTCCTGTTACTGTGATATTGCTTCCACACATTGGTGAGCAGATGTGAATTACAGGAAGATGGCTTTTAGATTCTGGGCATGATTGGAACATTGTGGTTTTCTGTTAATACTGCAATACCCTATCATTGTAATTTCAGAAATGTTTAAAAAAAAAAATCTAATATTTCTTCTTCAAGTAGATGCAGCTGTGTTTTCTACTTAGGTGTGTGCCTGCCCAACTCACCAGTGCTGGAGAATTTTGCTTAGCAGTACCCACAGATGCCAGCACTTGCACCTCGTGCCTCTAGCCCCTCCCCTGGCTATATAAGGTGGTGCCACCCCGACCTCTCTCAGCTTCTTCTTATAGCCCATGGCTGGAGTCAGAGCTCTGTGTGGTTCCTAATCTCGCAACCTCTCTATTTCTTAGTGACTTTTCTAGTTGTATATAGTTAATTACTACCCTTAGTATAGTGTTAATTACCTTTAGTAATTAGTTACCGCTCCTCCCAAGGTGGATGCAAGTTTTGGTAGGACGGTCTTGCAGTGCTTTTTAAGGTACACCTCTACCCCGATATAACGCGACCTGATATAACACGAATTTGGATACAACGTGGTAAAACAGTGCTCCGGGGGGGCAGAGCAAGTTCGATATAAAGCAGTTTCACCTATAACGCGGTAAGATTTTTTGGCTCCCGAGGACAGCATTATATCGGGGTAGAGGTGTAGTCTCCAAGACCCGTCTCCTGGAGTGGGTGCTGCTTGTGAGTCACCTAATTGGAATACACTGTTGTATCTACTCGAAGAAGAAACAGTTATAATAAGTAACTGTGGTTCTTTGAAATGTGATGCAGATGTAAATTCCGCAACCCACTGTCTGTCCCCTCTGCATCAGAGTCTGATCTCTGGATGTTTGGTACGAAGGAACTAGGGGGCAAGGGGTTGAGGCTTTGCCGACTCCTGTTGCCAGGGGAAGAGCTATGAGCATGAGGAGCGAGCTCCGCCTCCTATGGTACTGGTAGGCAAAGTTCTTCAGCTCCGGAGCATTGGGTGTGCATGCACCGAAGTGGAATACACATTTGCATCACATCTCAAAGAACCACAGTTAAAGTAAGTAATTGTTTCTTCCATTCCAGATTCTGGAGGGGAGTATTCTCTAGTGGACACAGTCTAATAACCATTCATCCACCCTAGGTTTGACCCATTCCAACCTGTCCCAGTCCTATTGTTTCCCCAACCCTCATTCCTTGTCCCAGTCCTATTCTCCTTGCCTGCCCAATCCCAGTCTCCACTCTTCAGGTTTGTCATCCAAGTTTCCTTGCCGAGCCAATCCTAGTCTCCCCCTCTGAATTCACTGTCAGAGTCCCAGTCTACCTACTCACTCAAGTCTCTCCTCTTTACCACACCCAGTCCTTTTCTCCTTGACCAGCCAGCCAGTCTGTTTTCTCACCCAGACTGTCCCAGTTGCTTCTTTTCCTCCTCAACTAGTTACCAGATCTAGTCTCCCTCCCAGGCTCCTCTTCCAGTCTGTGTCCTCATGCCAGTGCTTTGACCCAGTCTTCCCAGTTCTCCTCTGGCTTTCCAGCTCCTTGTTAGATCTTACTGCCCTCCACCCCAGTTCTGCCCCACAATGATTCTAGTACAGTCTTATTGCCAGTCAGTCCCAGTCTCCCCTCCTCCCCACACCTCCTCATCTGATCTGTGTTCTCTCCCACCACCAACCTCCACCAGCTGGCTCCCAGTCTCTTACCACCTCCTCATTTCCCTTACTGGCTTCCGGTCCCAGCCTTTCCCACCCCATGGTTCCCAGTCTCCTTAACCCATCAGTCCCAGTTTTTCTCCCTCCTTCCGCTGCCACTTCCAGTTTCAGTTTTACCAGACATCTTCTCCCGCTCCCTGGCTTTTGTCACTTCTGCATTCAAATCACATGGCTTCATCGATCATGTTTTCTGGGTGCCATCTGGGTGATCATTAGGAGCATTGAAGAGGAAGGATCCCTACTCTCTTTTTCAGCGCCTGGCAGCACCCTGGCCTGGTGCAGCTGGAAGCAGCCATTGAAAGGAAAGCCTGGCTTTGTCCTTGTAGCCCTGGGCTGGATGGCATAGGCTCAGTTGCTCTGGTGGGAAGGTGCATGTGCCCTCCAGTTGGCATTGAGAGCTGTGAGAGGTTTGAGTATGCTCCGTGAGGACAAAATTTTCAGAGATTTTTAGCAGCTAAAATCAAAGTATCTACTGAGCATGTGCAAACTGATTTTTTTTTCCATTGGCTTTTAATTTGACCAAATTTGGGTAGATTTTAACAAGAATGGTGAAAGACACAAAGGCCATCCTCTTTCAAATTTCAGGGTCACCAGTATTGCTTTAACATGGGCAAAACAACATATTTTCCCCTAACCTCATTCTTGGAAACAGCTGAACTGTTTTGGCTGAAATTTTCCAAAAAAATTCAGTAAGAGGCATGGTATGGTAATAGTCCAAATTATTCAAGTTTGACAAAGCTATAAGCAATTGAAAATAGAGTCTTATAATGGGAACTGTCAGGAAACCCTAACAATAGGGAGTGCTACCAGCACCGCCTATAATTAGGATATGCAGGAACAGTATAAGAAATTGGTTGATATAAATTGTTTTTGTCTGCTTTACAGATAGCAGTGAGTCGTACCTAGTCTCTTCCCAACAGAGTGTCGACCAGCCTCTTTCTCCTATTTTGAGGATAGGCCATCTTTCATCTTCTGAGTCTGCTCCTTCCTCTCCAACCAGTCAGGGACAAAAGTTGAGGTAAGTATTGTAACACTATCTGCAGTTCTGAAAGATCATTAACCATTTCTTTTAGAGAAACTTATGCCTTATTGGTTAGGTCACATGATTACAGCCGTCTTTCACTGTGTATGAATTAGAGCTTTTCTAAAGATACCATGTGTTCAGGATTCTCACACTTGTGTCTAATGTCTCCAGTGTAAGCCATATGGAAACTCCCCCTAGTTCTTTAAATTTTTTGACTTCATGTCTATAGGCTGGCCAAAGGTCTCTGCCCTACTGCATCTAACTTCAGGTACTTCATAGGTATTCCAGAACATTCCAGTCAATTCCTCTCTGAGCAATAGTCATTAGTGAAGAAGTTACCCTGGAAACTGTCCAATGTTTCTAATTAAAATAGTTGCAGTTTTTTCTGCAGTAGCCCTTATTCAAGGACTGGATATTCTTGTTTTGTTGTCATCTGAATTTCAGTCAGTCTTGATCCTTATCTTTTTGACTTTTTGTAGCTCTGGGGGCTTAAAGGGAATCAGGTATTTATTTAATGTGGCAGATTATTATATGTCTGGATTAGTCTGCAAATTACATTCTGTTTTGGGAATGTCATTTTAATTGTAAGACTGTACTGTGCCTTTACTTTGGCACTGCAGCCTCCATCTTGAGTTGAAATGCCCAGGAGGTGTCAGGAGAAATCCTTGCATCTAGCAGTGGGCTAACAATGTAAAGCAATCCAGAATCCTTAACCTGGATAGTTTTCTATTCAGATGGAAGCATCCTAGAACAATGATCTGACTAAAGCCCAGGGGAACCAATTTTCCCAGTGTAGACTTCAGGTGGGTTGCAACTAAGCAATGAATCACCTGACGAGAGACTTGAAGATGTTCAGGAGGGGTGGGATTAGAAAGGGAGGCTCTTGCTGGCTTTATAGAAGAGACCTAGAACAAGAAGGCAAAATTGACCAGGAGGAGGAGTGGAGAGTCCTGGGACCTTGAAAGGACTCACCAAAACTGAGTAGTGAGGACATTGGACGGCAGGGTTTTGTGTGCTAGCAAAATTTTGTTAAATTATCTAAGTATGGACAGATCCTAATGTCATTAATGTCAATGGCAAAAATGGCCACTGATTCCAGTGGAACCAGGGTTTGGCACGAAGGCCTCAGTTCAGGAAAGCAACCTTTTTTCAGGAAAGCACTTAAGCATGAGGTAAAGGGGACTTAAACATGTGCTTAAAATTTTTCCTGTGTAGCCTGAACAATTGTTACTTTTCCATAGATCTCTTCTGCTTTGTCTGTGAGTAAAAGTGTATGTTTAGAAATTCCTTTGCAGAGTCTGAGTGTCCTCTGCTTTCACTAATGCATAGTCCCCAAAGAGCGAAACAGTAAATCAGAGGGTCCACAGCTTCATTGGAACTCTGGAGAGTCCGTGGAGCAAGTGGTGGGAGGGCCAGCACTAGTTTCAGGTACAACACAGTTGGACCATGGAGTCTCATCTCTCAGGATGTGGTACTGTCTGTACCCTGAGAGTGTTCCTAGAAGTCTAGAGCTTGAGACAGGGATGACCCAGCCAGCCTAAAAGCATGTGGGATCCAGTAGTTTGATCCAAACACAGCAACCTGGTGAGCATCCACCAGGGGGAGCTCAGGTAGGGTTGTTATATTTAGACACTAGACCAGCAGTTCTCAAACTGTGGGTTGGGACCCCAGAGTGGGTCATAACCCCATTTTAATGGGGTCACCAGGGGTGGCATTAGACTTGCTGGGGTGGAAGCTGAAGCCTGAGCCCTACCCCCCAGGGTGGAAGCCAAAGCCCAAGGGTTTCAGCCCTAGGTGGTGGGGCTCAGGTTTCAGTCTTCCCCACCTGGGCTGAAGCCCTTGGCTTTGGCTTTGTTCCCCTGCCTGAGGTGGCGGGGCTCGGGGGGGCTCTGGCTTTGGTCCCCCCCTCCTGGGGTCATGTAGTAATTTTTGTTGTCAGAAGGGGATCGCAGAGCAATGAAGTTTGAGAACCCCTGCTCTAGACTTTGTCCCCTACGCACCAAATACTGGGTGATACTCTCCTATCAGTAATCTCTGCTGTCAGGAAAGATAATTTAGTTTTTCCTCTGAAGGCAGGCTCTGGAACTCGATCTTTGCATTCAACAAAGGTAGCTGCTAGTTTTCTTCTTTCAGAGTCAGGAACAGTCCTGGCTGAAAAGGATCTCCTCTCCACCCTCAGACCAGTTTTTTTTTTTAAAGTCAGAACCTCTTGAGGAACAGGTTCTGTTCAAGCTTAGGCGCAACAAGAGTCTAATGAACTTCAGCATCATGCTGACTGACCTGAATATGGCTCCCAAAGCTGCTCTGGACTAGCATTAGACCATGAGTCTGTTCAGAGCTGATCACATAGAGAAACTAGATTATGTGCTTTGTTTTGCCAAGATAAGGTTTGTAGTGTAATGCAAATGTGGGACAATGGAGGAGGACCCCTTTCTAGCCCAGCTTAAATGCCTTTATTACCCTCTTTACATGTCAGAGTCTAATTTAAAGACTCATTCTAAGAAGTTCATTTAGCTTAGCTATTTTCAGCCTATCATAAACTGGCTGAAGGTACATTGTTTTTTTACAGCTCATTGTCATCAGCTTTATGTGGAGCTTGACAGTTTTGAAATTCCATTTAATAAACCCTCTGTTACGAGATATTAATGTGTTCCTGACAAGGCTGACAAAAGTGCCTATTGGCTCACTTAATCACAAGTTTTGTATGGGGGGATCATTTCCTGATGAAGGGAACACCAGCTCATAGAGTGAGTGAGCTTCAGGTTTTAGTAACTAACCCATGTTACACCATGTTTTACAAGGGCCAGGTTGTGTTATAAACTCATCAGTAATTTCCATCCAAAGTGGTGGTAGAGTTTCTCATCCTTCCCATACCAGGAAGGCCCTTTGCATAAAGCTGAAGTTTAAAGGTCTTTGGGATTCTATTTGGAGCACACAAAAGACCTTAGAAAGACCACACTGATTCCTTGAGCGATGCTATATCTCCATGAAGACTCTGTCTGAAAGGTTATGTTGCTGTTTTTTTCACAGCTGTGACCTGGCTGACCTATCGTTAGGCTTGTGCTAGGTGAGGCAGAGCAACTTCCGCTGCCTGCTTCAACGAGGATTTCAGTCAGGATGTTAGGCAGGGCAGGTAGCCTCATGTCATACTCCCCAAAGTTTCAATGCTAACATTCATTTTCTGAGGATGAGCTTCCCTTTGTTTCCCCATGCCAACAGAACTTGTTTCTGAAGTAGGGGAGCCCAAACTCGCATCACCTATTAGATTTTGGAGTTTGTTGTTTTGTCTTTTCAGGCTGTGTAAATGGGCAAATTTTTGAGTTAAAAAGTAACAAAACATCCCCACTGAATCTCTCATTCTTTCCTCTTTAACCCCCCCCCCCCCAAAAAAAAAAACAAAAAAAAACAGAACAGCACCAAAGCCTTCCTGACCAGGTCTGACCCTAGACCAAATAGCACCCCAGGCAAGGAGCATCTTTGGTGGCCCTCTCCCCCCACATTTGTTAAACTTTTGAATACCTTATTTTTATTTCATTTGTAGCCCATTTTACGACTTGCATGCGTGATTTATCCCTATCATATAAGTTGATAAATTTGCACGCTAGGATCTGTAAATCTGTATTTATTCATGCCATGTATAAGCAAATAAAAAAATTGGTTTCATCTAAGCTTATAGAAACTTTTTAATTTTAAGAATAACTGAAATGTACTAACATCAAGAAACTGAACTGTGCACCAACATTGGGTGGACCAGTATTAAATAGTGTTAGAGTAGGTGTCAGCCTTAGAATGTTAACCCTAGTCCTTTAGTTCAAAGGGTCACTTTTCTCGCCTTTGCCCTTGTGAACTGAAGCACACCATCAGAGAGATCCAAAGATTGACCAATGGCATTTTCAAGCGATAAAGCAACGTTAGTTTCTCGCCAGCCATCATCGATAAAAGATATGTTTGAATGAGCCTGAGCTTCAAAAACCTGCGCTCACCACTCGCGACCAGCAGCATGAGCAGAATCCTCAACCTAGCCACATGTTAGGAAAAGTGTTGCTAACAACAAAAACAGCACCCTGAGCCCGGCACCCCCCCAAGCCCAGTACCCCAGGCGGTCACCTGCCCCTAAATCAGGCCCTGTTCCTGACTCCATCTTGAGAAATCTCCTGGAGGTTAGTTACATTCAAAGAGTGAGAGTCCTGCATAGATGGTGTCTTGAAAGAAGGGACAATTACTTACCTTGTAATGCTGTTTTTCTGAAAGATCATTTGCAGGATTGTCACTCACCCGCCACCTAACCTCCAAGTCTGCTGTTGAAGAATAAGCAGTTGTAGGCTCAGGTTGCCATAGCAAGTGCTCATTTGTCCTTATTTTTTTCTGGAACAATCCACGCCTTTGTACTCATTTTAAATGAGATACAGATAATTTATTTTTTGTATTTTATGCAATTAGAGATTAGGGAGCTTTTGATTCTTGGTCTTGAAAAGAACTGGTTGGAATTTTCTGGGGCCTCTTAGGTAGGTGCATGCTTATCCTGGTGCCACAGTGTCTCACCTTCCACTATTCCATTCCATTCATTCATGCTGTCCCCACTATCTCACATGATAGACCTCACCAGTTGAGGGTTAAGTGCTATTCATCTCTATGAGAATATTGTAAGAGAAAATGGCTATAGCATGCAACACAATTTTTTTTCTGAAGTACAGCAATAAATGTGTGGGCTTTTTCCAGCTGTTCACTCCAAGCATCAGGTAAATGTCACATAGTTGATAGGATTTAGATAGCTAGGTAAGGTTAGTAAGAGGGAAGGGGAGCTAACAAAAAAAAAGAAACCATGATACTGCCTCCCAAGTGTTGAAAAGCTGGTGTATTTTCAGTAGAGTGGTCCATATTCTGTCCAGAACACCAGGGAGACAATCAAAAGAGAACACCTCATCCATCACTGGGAAAAATGTCTTTTCTCAAGACACCCGCACTACAGTTAGTTTCCTGTCCCAACCTGCGAGTGGGTGGGACGGAAGTGAATAAAAGCAACCCCTTCTTTCCCTTAGGAGAAAGGATTGCATTTCTAGTATTCTGGCTCTGTGGGAAGTATTGTTTTCTTTACGGTTATTCCCAAAATACATTGGTATCATCAGAAGGACAGGGATGAGCCCTCTATGTGAGTGAGACCTTCCATCTCTCGCTCATCCTAGATATAGGCTTGATTACTGCAGCTTTACTGCTGATTCCTAAAAAATTTAAGGATTCAATACTTTGATTATAGGTTAGGCTGCCAGTTTTACTGTCCATAAAGCACCTTTATATAAATCTTTGTTTCTCAGAATAATAGTTTTTAAATCCATTTTTCTAATAATTTATTGTTGACTGAGAAACCATTAGCGGTTTTATGGAATGTTGTTGATACTGGATACAGTCCATATTCATCAACATTGCTGTGACAAAATGGTTTGTGAAAACCATTTGAGATTCATGCAGATAATTGCCTTAATGAGACAAACCTCTCTTACTTTTGTTTACTAAATCTGTCCCATTGAATTCCATGCTTTCCTAACACTTCTACAGGATATAACACTAGCAACATTATACAGAGTGGCATGTGTCCTTGTACGCTAGATAAATAATATATACCCAACAGACACAAATTTCTCTAAAGGAGAGATTCAAAACCATTTAATATAGATTATATACTTATTATACATTATCTAGATGATATAGTTCTAGAAATACCACTTATATTTGACCGCAGTAGATGGTGTGTATAATTTACAGGGTTTTTTTGTGTATTGAGCCTCTCTTCTGAAATGGCAGAACCAACACTGCTAGGAGTATTTTTCCCTTAGGCTTCAATTTACATTAATTAAGGCTATCTCTTAGAGCCTGTACATTTTATGTATCCTCCTCTTTATCCTCACCCCATAAAAAACGTATTGCTTAGACTTTTCATAAACATTTTATATGTTTATGCTTATAGTGAAAGACTAATACAGCCAGGTGCTGACAAGCTTCTGTACATAGTGCTACAGGGCATCTCATTTGTGACCTGCAGGTCTCTTTCTACTTTCTGGATAAGAGATTGCTAGCTGTGTTACACTGGCTGTATTGTACTTGATACTGTTATAGACAAATCCCCAGAAGCAGTTAGAAAGAGACCACTAAACTCATTTTCCATAGGGCCAAAGAAGGATTGTAAAGTGTAGTTTCAGGGATGAAAGGCTATCTAATCTAACGGACTATCATGGCATCAAAGCGCTGGACACAAATTAAACTACAAAACTGAGTGTGGTTAAAAAGGCATAATTCTTAAACTCTCTTCTCATTGTATGTGTGATCCTTTTTGCCTTCTTTCTCGTTTTTTGTTTTCTCTTCCTGTTTTTAACTCATTTTCATAGTATATCTTTCTTTTTATATGTATTTCACTCTTCCCAATTGTGGCTATGTTTTGGGGAGAGACTGAAGGGAAAGGTCTTATCCAAGAGCTAAGTCTTGCATTCATACCTGACAGTGGTCAGGATTAGGTTACTGTATTTAAATTCCATATCCTGTAAATTCTGACTTATATGTTAGTTTGCTTATGTGGTTTTACAGTTTTCTTAGTCCATAGCTACTCTTGGGTACTACAGACTATTGTCATATCTTTAACTGCTGATGTACTTGACGTTTTGGTTATTAAACCTTTTAATTCGTGTTCTTTCCTCCCCACTTTCAGTCTTCATGAACAGCAAGCTGATAATCAGGACTTCAATGACTCTTCAAAGCCAGAGAAGCTAGCATATGAGGACCTTGAAGAACATGATTCTTCTCTTAAATGTAAGCTTTAGTGTGTTTTTTTCAGACAGTTACTTAGTAAATTGAAAGAGTAGAAGTTCTTGTTATTTTGAAAATTATTTTCCTTAAGGTTAACCATTCCTTTCAACCTAAAATTAGCAAAGGGTTAGCAGGGGGTGCCTGAGGGATCCATATTAGAAACAAATGTTGTTTAATACATTATGATGGAGAAGTTGCAAGACCACAGTTTAGGTTATGTCAGAGATTTCAGTTTAAGCTTTTTAGATATTATTATTATTATTAAAATATTATGCAAGTAGAACTGTGCAACCTTAACTACAGTGACACAATGTTTGTGTGTGGAGAAGAAGGTGAATATTGAGGTATCAGAATTTACAGATAACACAGTTGTTTAGGTTAATAAAGACTGGAGAAAACTGTTATTAAAGCTGCATGATTGGGTAGCAAATTAAACTCACTGTTGACAAATAGAAAGAAATGGAGGGAGAAGGACCACCAGTTAAAGGTAGAATACTTCTCAAACATATGGATGCAGAGATCAGCATTAGCTCCAGGTGTCACACTGTCTCAATTCATGTGCAAAGGTAACAGTTCCCTACTTGTTTTCCTAGGTATCAACACAGTATTGAACTCTAAATAAAACATCTCTAAGGTTGCTCTGTTTACCATGGCAGACATGCTGGCTATGTTCAGTGATGAGTTGATGAAGTGGGTGACTGTTCTGTGGATTTTCCCCTTAGTATTAGTTATTTTAATCATCAGTTTTAATTCATTCAATTTAGTTTTCGTTTTACAATTTTTAAATACAGTAACTCCTGACTTAGTCATCCCAGTTAATGTTGTTTCATTGTCACACTGCTGATCAATTAGAGAACATGCTCATTTAAAGTTGTGCAATGCTCCCTTATAACGTTGTTTGGCAGCTGCCTGCTTTGTCCACTGCTTGCAGAACAGAAAGAGCAGCCCATTGGAGCTAGCTGGTGGGGGCTTGGAACCAGGGTGGACCGGCAGCCCTCATCAGCTCCTCTAAGTTACCTGTGCCGCAGCCATCCAGCAGGCTGTCAAAATTGCCGGGCAGTTCAGCTGTCCCTCCCCCCACTGCTATGTGCTGCTCCTGCCCTCTGCCTTGGAGCTGCTTCTGGGAACCTCCTGCTTGCTGTGCAGAGGGGGGGAAAGAGGGGTGCTAATGTCAGCGTGTCCCCCTCCCCCTGCTCCTGCCCCCCGCTCCTGTACCTTATCTCCACAGAGCATGGGGGGGGTGGGGACATGATGGGGCTCAGGATGGAGGGAGCTTGCTGGCAGCAGCTGCTGTCTCAACTTGCTGATCTACTTTAAAAGGCAATGTACTTAGAGTAGGGTCAGCATACTTAAAGGGGCAATGCGCTTCTCT